ATATTTTGGTAAAAATTTTATGAAAATCGGACGACTATATGATATAGCTGCCATAGCAACGGTCGAGAAATAAATAGGAAAAAAATTATAGTTTCGTTGTTTTTCAACGTATGCTTATCTACTCTGAGATATAAGCTTTTTTTATTATTCTAGAATTATGGTATAAATTTCATAAAAATGGGACAACTATATCATATAGCTGCCATATAAACCGATCGGTAGATGTAGAGAAAATGTAAAACTGGGAATGTAAAACTGTAACTGTCAAACTGTAAACATAATAAGTGTAGGTAAAATGTAATGAAACTCTGTTTTGTGAGTGTTTTCAGCATTTAAATCTATAATATAAACATCAAAACCAATCTGCAAGGGTATACAAACTTCGGCGTGCCGAAGTTACCTTCCTTTCTTGTTTCTATTATAGTTTGATTATTACGATTATTACGGTAAGCCGAAAATTGGAACTCGGGCAACGGAACCTATATAGGGAGGCAGGAGACAGAAAGAGGGAAAGATTAGCGGGATGTCAGCCGGCGCGGTAACGTTGGGGCTCTAGTGATTTAAAAAAGGAAAAAAATAGAAAACGTGAGGGAAGTGGCGCGAAGAAAAAAAAAAGCTCTATCTCTCTCTTTGCCTACATTCAACAGTGAGAGCTTTTCTTCTCGATCTAGATCACTAAAGCTCTCTCGACTATTAAAAAGCTAAAAAGGAGTCAGAACCAAGTTGAACGTGAGCGAAGCAACTACAAAGAGTTTAATAAATGAAGTTATACCAGCTAAAATCATTCAAATGTGTTCTAATTCAACTAAATGTTAACCGAAATGCGGTAACAAAACTCGTGCGATCGGAAATTCCGAGGAGCGGAGAGCGGGCGAGCGTTGCTAAGCTGGGAGCGCTTGAGCTTTTGGACGCTCGGTGGGCACGCCTCCTGGCGTGAACACATATGTTAAAAGTTTTTTAAAGGTATTAAAGTTATTTTTTATAATATATATGAATTTATTTATATATTTTACAGCTAAGGATTTTTATACCCTTGCAGGGTATTATAATTTCAGTCAGAAGTTTGCAACGCACTGTATATTTTGGTAAAAATTTTATGAAAATCGGACGACTATATGATATAGCTGCTATAGGAACGATCGAGAAATAAATAGGAAAAAAAATTATAGCTTCGTTGTTTTTCAGCGTATGTTTATCTACTCTGAGATATAAGCTTTTTTTATTATTTTAGAATTATGGTATAAATTTCATAAAAATCGGACAACTATATCATATAGCTGCCATAGAAGCGATCGGTAGATGTAGAGAAAATGTAAGGCTGGGAATGTAAAACTGTAACCGTCAAACTTGTTACGGAACTGCTTCTCGCCAGGGCAATGCCGGGCTAGCTCAGAGTGGCCCAGGGCGGGTTCGACCCGATGCCCGCAGTCCGCACAATCGAATACCGACAAAATATCGGACGTCTCGACTAACACCATCACTAACAAAACTCACATCACTACGTTAAAAATGTAAACAACGATTTGGACGACAATTTGGACGAATTGGTGGCTTAGCTGTGAACGCCACGACGCACCCTCCCATCCAGTGATGCCTCCTGGTCATCTCGGGGCATCACCCATTCTCCGGCGGACCGGAGTCTATTCCAGGCGGTCTGGCGACCGACTCATCCCCCCCAGGTAATAAGGCTTATTCCATGTTCATTGTTCTTTTAATACTTTATAATGATCGTTTTAGATTTACTTGTACATGGCAGGGTACGTGCCTCCCAATCCCTCACCGTGGTCGCGACCCTAGCCAGAGATGCGCTCGCGCCAAGGCTGCCGCCAAAGGATCAAAAGAAGTGGCCAAGGAGAAATGGCCAACGACACACCGGCCAACAAATTACTTTAAGTACCCCTTTCCTACCTCGGGTCCCTACTGGAGCTCCAAAAGAAACCACAAGGGTGGGTCACTCGAAAATTCCTCCTTCTTTTCACCCTAAGAATTTTCAATCCGCAGCACTTGTGTTGCACAAACCCCGGACACAAGGCACGAATACGCGGAGAAAAAGGTACGGCGACAAGTGACACAGAATACAACAAAAACAGATAACTTAAATATTATTATTTTATTTTTTTATATATTTCCGGCGACTGAGAACGATGGCCAGAATGGGGCAGACGAAGCCCAGGATTGGTGACTAGCGGAATTCGGCCAGGACTAGCAGCAAAACATGTAGGCCCTACAAGCGGCATGAATCCTCCGACCACTTAGGTTAGGGCCGGCCGATTTTGGGATTGGAACGGACTCACCGCTGTCCTCCAGTTTCCGTCGGTTGCTCCCGATTTCGCCTGATGGCGGCTTGTGCTGGCGGCCGCTGGCGCCCAAGAGTGCGGGGACCGGATGCTCGTGCAGGTGTTCCTGGGAATGAGGGGCTCGCCCAGACCAAACTCCACCGAACGCTCGGAGACGTGAATGCACCAACACAGGGAAACAAAAAAAAAAAAACCCCGTGGCCCGTGCTATTCGTCACGGCCACGCTGTAAGGAAAAACATATATCCTTTTTAATAATGACTATAGATTTTTTTTTCTTCGCGCCACTTCCCTCACGTTTTCTATTTTTTTCCTTTTTTAAATCACTAGAGCCCCAACGTTACCGCGCCGGCTGACATCCCGCTAATCTTTCCCTCTTTCTGTCTCCTGCCTCCCTATATAGGTTCCGTTGCCCGAGTTCCAATTTTCGGCTTACCGTAATAATCGTAATAATCAAACTATAATAGAAACAAGAAAGGAAGGTAACTTCGGCACGCCGAAGTTTGTATACCCTTGCAGATTGGTTTTGATGTTTATATTATAGATTTAAATGCTGAAAACACTCACAAAACAGAGTTTCATTACATTTTACCTACACTTATTATGTTTACAGTTTGACAGTTTCAGCTTTGCATTCCCAGCTTTACATATTATATACATTTACTGATCGCTTCTATGGCAGCTATATGATATAGTTGCCCGATTTTTATGAAATTTATACCAAAATTCTAGAATAATAAAAAAAAAATTACATCTCAGAGTAAATAAAAATGCGTTGAAAAACAACGAGGCTATAATTTGTTTCCTATTAATTTCCCGACTGTTCCTATGGCAGCTATATTATATAGTCGTCATAAAATTTTTACCAAAATTCTGAAATAATATAAAATGGCCATATCTAAAAAATGGTGCAAATGGTACAGCAAAGTTATAATTTTTATTCTACAAATTAATCGAACATTTGTATGGCAGCTATATGATATAGTGGTCCGATCCAGCCCGTTCCGACATATATAGCAGTGAGAGTATATAGAAGACTATATGCAAAGTTTCATTTAGATAGCTTCAAAACTGAGGGACTACTTTGCGTAGAAACAGACAGACGGACAGACAGACAGACGGACATGGCTAGATCGACTCGGCTGTTGATGCTGATCAAGAATATATATAGTTTATAGGGTCGGAAACGTCTCCTTCACTGCGTTGCAAACTTCTGACTGAAATTATAATACCCTGCAAGGGTATAAAAATACGCTCGTACAACTCCCAAAGAGGAAACTTTGAAAAATTAATAACCGACAATGAATTTAATAGTATAAATATAAAAGAATACTTAAGAAATGAGAATATAGAAGTTCATTTTGTGAAACCGAACAGTCACACTGGCAATGCAGACGTTGAACGATTTCATAATACTCTAACCGAAAAGATAAGAATCATATACCTTGAAAACAAAGATCTATCAATAAAAGATAAAGTTAGCAAAGCTATAGAATATTATAATAACAGCTATCACTCAGCAATACAAAATACGCCAATGAATGTTGAATATGGAAATTGTGACAAAAAAATTATTTATAATAATATTCTAAAATATAAGAAACATTACATTACATTTTTAAATAAAAAAAGAGAAAATTTTGAAGAAACTAGAAATGAAGGATATATAAAAAACTATAAGTCCTTAAGACACAAAAATGAACCGAAATATAGAAAATTTAATTTAAATAATGTACATAGCTCCAGCATTAAAAGAAAGAAGAAATATCAGACTGCAAATGTAACATAATTTACCATAATCAATTCCCTAACACATATGTATACAAACGAATTGTAAAACCCAAGATAGTCCTAATTTAAGCGATGGGGAAGTTATGTAGTCAAAGCTCTATCTCTCTCTTTGCCTACATTCAACAGTGAGAGCTTTTCTTCTCGATCTAGATCACTAAAGCTCTCTCGACTATTAAAAAGCTAAAAAGGAGTCAGAACCAAGTTGAACGTGAGCGAAGCAACTACAAAGAGTTTAATAAATGAAGTTATACCAGCTAAAATCATTCAAATGTGTTCTAATTCAACTAAATGTTAACCGAAATGCGGTAACAAAACTCGTGCGATCGGAAATTCCGAGGAGCGGAGAGCGGGCGAGCGTTGCTAAGCTGGGAGCGCTTGAGCTTTTGGACGCTCGGTGGGCACGCCTAAGCTAAGGATTTTTATACCCTTGCAGGGTATTATAATTTCAGTCAGAAGTTTGCAACGCACTGTATATTTTGGTAAAAATTTTATGAAAATCGGACGACTATATGATATAGCTGCTATAGGAACGATCGAGAAATAAATAGGAAAAAAAATTATAGCTTCGTTGTTTTTCAGCGTATGTTTATCTACTCTGAGATATAAGCTTTTTTTATTATTTTAGAATTATGGTATAAATTTCATAAAAATCGGACAACTATATCATATAGCTGCCATAGAAGCGATCGGTAGATGTAGAGAAAATGTAAGGCTGGGAATGTAAAACTGTAACCGTCAAACTTGTTACGGAACTGCTTCTCGCCAGGGCAATGCCGGGCTAGCTCAGAGTGGCCCAGGGCGGGTTCGACCCGATGCCCGCAGTCCGCACAATCGAATACCGACAAAATATCGGACGCCTCGACTAACACCATCACTAACAAAACTCACATCACTACGTTAAAAATGTAAACAAAGATTTGGACGACAATTTGGACGAATTGGTGGCTTAGCTGTGAACGCCACGACGCACCCTCCCATCCAGTGATGCCTCCTGGTCATCTCGGGGCATCACCCATTCTCCGGCGGACCGGAGTCTATTCCAGGCGGTCTGGCGACCGACTCATCCCCCCCAGGTAATAAGGCTTATTCCATGTTCATTGTTCTTTTAATACTTTATAATGATCGTTTTAGATTTACTTGTACATGGCAGGGTACGTGCCTCCCAATCCCTCACCGTGGTCGCGACCCTAGCCAGAGATGCGCTCGCGCCAAGGCTGCCGCCAAAGGATCAAAAGAAGTGGCCAAGGAGAAATGGCCAACGACACACCGGCCGACAAATTACTTTAAGTACCCCTTTCCTACCTCGGGTCCCTACTGGAGCTCCAAAAGAAACCACAAGGGTGGGTCACTCGAAAATTCCTCCTTCTTTTCACCCTAAGAATTTTCAATCCGCAGCACTTGTGTTGCACAAATCCCGGACACAAGGCACGAATACGCGGAGAAAAAGGTACGGCGACAAGTGACACAGAATACAACAAAAACAGATAACTTAAATATTATTATTTTATTTTTTTATATATTTCCGGCGACTGAGAACGATGGCCAGAATGGGGCAGACGAAGCCCAGGATTGGTGACTAGCGGAATTCGGCCAGGACTAGCAGCAAAAAATGTAGGCCCTACAAGCGGCATGAATCCTCCGACCACTTAGGTTAGGGCCGGCCGATTTTGGGATTGGAACGGACTCACCGCTGTCCTCCAGTTTCCGTCGGTTGCTCCCGATTTCGCCTGATGGCGGCTTGTGCTGGCGGCCGCTGGCGCCCAAGAGTGCGGGGACCGGATGCTCGTGCAGGTGTTCCTGGGAATGAGGGGCTCGCCCAGACCAAACTCCACCGAACGCTCGGAGACGTGAATGCACCAACACAGGGAAACAAAAAAAAAAAAACCCGTGGCCCGTGCTATTCGTCACGGCCACGCTGTAAGGAAAAACATATATCCTTTTTAATAATGACTATAGATTTTTTTTTCTTCGCGCCACTTCCCTCACGTTTTCTATTTTTTTCCTTTTTTAAATCACTAGAGCCCCAACGTTACCGCGCCGGCTGACATCCCGCTAATCTTTCCCTCTTTCTGTCTCCTGCCTCCCTATATAGGTTCCGTTGCCCGAGTTCCAATTTTCGGCTTACCGTAATCTTGGGCGCTCAGTGCAACGGCCTAGTGCAAAGGGTAAAAACCCTTTCTCTTACTTTTGATATTCCCGGTTCGCTCACCAGTCCCTGCCTCCCCCTGTTCCTACCGACCCTACCTCTATCGATATATCGATAGCCCTCCAGCCCATTCCGATTGAAAATGCAACACCACCCAAGGATTTGGAGAGATGCTACTGGATTCCGGCGGCTCGACAAGATCATTGGGAGCATTTGGATCAGGATCTTGATCGCAGTTCCGTACGGTGCCCAACGCGGGACCCACGCTTTACGGGAAGTCTTAGACATCTTTTGGTTTCTTTTCGTCCTGGCATACTTTTTGTTTGTTTCTTTGTTCCCTTCCAGTTCAGATGCGAATGTCCTTGGCGTGATAGATGCCCAAACTTCGGCCCTGCAGATCCTCCAGCTCGTACGCATTGTTGCGTACGGCCTTCACCACTCTGGCCTTTAAAAACTTTTTGGCAAACTTTGCATTAAATTGCTTTCCGAAGTCGCTGAGGACAAAGTTCCGGCGATACACTTCTTGTCCCGGCTTCGCGGTGAAGACTCTGGCCCTCTGGTCGTATCGCTGGCGACTGTGGTCATATGCGGTCTCCAGACTCTTGCGCACCTTCTCCTGTACCACCCGGAGCTTGTCAGCCGTCGGCATTCCGGCCATTTCATGGTCACACATCGACTGCAGCTTCCTTGCCAGTCTGTAGCTGGACCCATGCAGGAACATGTGATGCCCGAACACTGTGAAAAACGGCGCCTCGCCTGTCGCTGCATGGACTGCATTCCTGATGGCCACCTCAATCTCCGGAAGGTATGCATCCCACTCCCGATGGTCACTCTCCAGGAACCCTCGGATCGCTGCCAGGACACTCCGGTTGACCCGTTCCGCTGCGTTGCTCTGTGGGGAGTAAATCGGGGTCTTCAGATGCCGGATCCCGAAGCTCTCCATCGCCTCCTCGAAGATCTTCGAGGTGAACTGCCGACCGTTATCAGAGTGCACCACCTCCGGCACTCCAAACTTGTAGAAGACCTCCGTAATGAGGAAATCTACTACGTTCGAAGCGGTTGCGTCTCTCATCGCCTTGAGGAATGTGTATTTGGAGAAGTGGTCAACTACGATGAAGATCCAGGCGTGTCCCTTCTTCGACCTCGGATATTTGCCAAGGAAGTCGACGTACAGCTTCTGGAACGGCCGCTCCGTCTGTACCCGCTCTCCGATCCCCACCATCATCCGGTGGTTCGGGGCCTTCGACTCCTGGCTGCTCCTGGTTGTCCTCATCCTTCTGGAACAGAACCGCTCCAACCCCGATGTGAGAAGCGTCGCACTGGATGAAGAAGTGCCGCTTGAAATCGGCGTGGACTAGTACAGGCGCTGTTGTTAGAGCCATCTTCAGGGCTTCGACCGCCAGCTGCGCCTCCGGACTCAGAGAAAACTTCGTGTTCCCGGTCTTCTTGAGCGCCTCGGTGAGCGGTGCTGCCAGCGTTGCGAAGTTCCTGACGAAGCGCCGATACCATCCAGCCGTGCCCAAAAAGGCTCGTACCTCCTTCATAGTCCTCGGCTCTGGCATCCTACGGATCGCAGCCACCCTTCCTGGATCCATTCGCAGACGACCTCCACCTACGATGAAGCCTAGGTAAGTCAACGACTTGAAACAGAATTTAGACTTGCTAAGCCCAATCGTTAATCCTGCTTCTCTTAGGCATTCGGCGACTCGTCGTAGGTAGCGGAAGTGCGTCTCGATGTCCGGTGCCAGGATGAGCAGGTCGTCCAAGTAGACGAAGACGTTGGACCGGATTTCTGCTGGGATTACTCTGTCCATGAGTCTCACCAGCCGCTGCGCCGCATTGCAGAGTCCGAACGGCATCACTCGGAACTGGTACAGGGGCCGACCAGGAACCGTGAACGCTGTCAACTCCTTGCTTTTCTCGTCCAGTTCGATCTGCCAAAACGCGAATTTTAAGTCCACGCTGGAGATGTAGTGCGTCTGATCGATTCTGGACAGGATTCCATCGATACTAGGCAAGGGGTAAGCATCCTTGACGGTCACCTCGTTCAGCTTCCTGGCATCCAAGCAGAACCTGTCCTTTCCAGGCTTCGACACCACCGTCGTCCGGTTACTCCATGGGCTCATGCTCTCCTCGATGACTCCCAGCGCCAGCATCTTGTCGACCTCGTCCTCGACCACCTTCTGCTTCGCCGGAGACATCGGATAGGGCCGATCCTTAAAAACCTTCGCGCCTTCCACCAGCTCTATGGAATGCTTCTCCAGGCTCGTGGTTCCTAAGCCATCCTTCTCAAAGGTGAGGAACATCCGCTTGATATCCTCCAGCTTCCGGGACTCCGCCTCGGATAGGGACCAGGATTCGGGATCGGCCTTCTCCTCGTCATCGTCTTCTTGGTCGGCGTAGTGTTCCATTTCCCTGGCGTGGATTTCTTCGGCCTTCATCACGCTGTTTGTCGGTACTTCTCCCACTACGGCCGGAGCCAAGCCAAACGCTCGCCAAAAGTCGACTCCGAGATATGCCGGCTGCTCAAGGTAAGGGCAAAGATAGAAAAGAATATTCTCTACCCTCCCTTTGTATTCCACAGGTAGCTTTAATCGTCCGATGATCGACCGATCCTCGCCTGCGGCCGTACGCACCATCGAGAAATATCTCTGGACCGGCACCCCCAACGCCTCCACCAGTTCCCTGCCGCCTTTGCCGAGCAGACTGACACTCGCACCGGTGTCCAATAGACCCGTCAGCTGCTGGCCTAAAATGGTTATCCCGGCGAAGGGCCTGGGATCGGAGATGCCGCCCCGCTGCACTGCTGCGACGACTTCTCTTCGCTTTTCCCTACGCTTTCGAAACCGCTCTCTGGCCTTCCGAACCGTTCGGGATACCTGGCGCATTCCGCACAGCTGGTGTTGTTTAAAAATTCTATTTCTAGCTTCTAAATACCTCCGCATGCGCTCCTCATAGGGTAAGTACCTTAATATATTTTTATTATTATGATTACTAATTATTTCCTTCCTTGCAGGCTCCCCTACATCGCGGGTTTCAGTCCTGGACGAGTTCCTCCCGCTCTCGCATCGCCCAGCCGACCGTTTCCCGCACAATTCGGGCATTTTGGGGCAACAGTATCGGCCTTTCCACATCGGAAGCAGAACACCTTTCGCAGCTCCTGCTCGCAATCGCGGAATCCATGGTCCAACGCTCCGCAGTTCCAGCATCCCGCTCGGAATGGATTCCGTGGCCTCTCCCGGACTTCCTCGACCTCAGGCGGGTGCTCCTCCTCGTCTGGTTCCGGTCCAGCCACCTCGCTAACCCTGTTCCGTTCTCCTGCCGGATAGCGCGTCGCTGGAGGAGGGAAGCGGCTCCGCCGTCCAAAGCTGCGCTCGACCTCGATGCCTCCTGCCGCAACTCATCAACGGTGAGCAGCTCCATCGCGTAAACGAACCGCGCTATTCCCTCTCGCAGCCCCTTCTTCATCACCTTTACCAAATGCCGCTCTGGCATTGGCTTTTTCAGGCGTGCCGCAAGGGTCTGCATGGCGTGCAGGTAGTCGTCGACGGTCTCTCCTGGTTGCTGCTCCCGTTGCAACAGCAGGTGCATCCTCTGGTGCTCCGTTTCGTGGCTCTGGAACCTGTCCAGCAGCGCCCGACGCAACTGGCCCCAACTGTCCAGCCTGTGCTGCTGAACGTGGACCCAGTACCACTCCAACGCCCGGCCCGTCAGCAAGGCGTGGAAGTTACGCAGAACTTCAGTCCACGGGCAACGAGTTTGGCGTTGGAGGTACTCCAGACGAAACACGAATCCTTCGACGTGGTTCCTCTCGTCCTCGCCGCTGAACGTGATGTTCCACCGGTCCACTCGGGCGTACTGGGAACTGCCTCCCGCGTCCCAGTTGGCGTACGCCCGCTCGTCCCGGAACTCTCCGGCTCGGCGATCCTCCACGCGCCAGCTCCTGCCTCCGCCGTCATCCCGCGGCCTCTCTTCCGCCTCAGTGGACCATCCTGGGCTGCTGCTGGTCAACTCCAATGGATCCGGCGCCCTCCTTGGCGGCTTCGGTGGCACACGTGGCGGTGTCCTTGCCGCTTGCCCACTGGCCGTTTGTTGGCTTCGCGGTATGGCTCCACGAGCGCCCTGGGGTCCCTCCGTCGGTCGTCCCCTCGGAAACGGCTGCTGTGGTCGTGCTTCTGGGAACGGTTGCTGTCGTGGTGCTTCTGGAAACGGCTCCTGTTCCTGCTGGGCTGGTGTCCTCAGCGGCTCCTGTGGGTGAGTAACTGCCGGCCTCAGCACCTGATTCATTAGCTGCATCATTTCTAGGAAGCCCGCCCGCAGCTCTTCTCGCAACCCTTGACATATTCCCGCCTCTTGGGACTTGCGGTATGTCTCCGCTGCCTGTGCCAGTGCGAGGTTCACCGCCGACTGGATCGTCGAGTCTACTGGTGGATCCTGAAAATGTACCGCCTTCGGAGCGGAATCCATTTGCAACAGCTGGTCAGCTGCTGCCCCGATCGCCTCGAACTCCAGCAACTTCCCCTGGTTCGGCTCCTCTGGCTGTTCTGCTGCCCGTCGTCGCGGTGGCGTCCTCGACAACCCCACTGAAATCCGCGGCGGCGCGTACCCCACAGCACCTTCCGCGTCCGTGGACCACACTTCCTCTTCCTGGGCTGAAGGACCCTTCGACCTAAGCTAATACGTGTTTGCGTTTTCCTCTGCCATTCATTATTCCTAAACACCTAACAAATTTATGACGACACTTACACAAATATCTAAACAAACCCCAAAAAAAAAACGATTCATAAACACCTAACACCGAATAAATAAATATATATGGTAAAACTAAATAAATAATTGTGCAATAAATAAATAAATAATTAATAACGATAATAATGATATAAATAAATAAATAAAACCAGATAAATAAATAAATAAATAACAAAAAAAAAATAAATAAATAAATAACCAAAAAATAAATAAATAAATAAATAACAGAAAATAAACAAATAATTCAATAAATAATCAACTACCACAATTAATATTTAAATTTCCATATATAATATGTACTCAGTTCACTGATGTTTCCTTTCTTTCTAAATTTCAGGGGGAGATGGAGCCGATCAACCGCCGGTGGACTCCGTGCCAGATTTCCTGCGTCTTACAACTGCCCAAGTCGTCCCTACTCCGGCCGCTCGTCAACTGGACTAA